CCCCCCCAGCGTTCATTCCTCCCTTTACACAGCTCAAACCAAACCCCGAGTGAAGGATCGGCCATGTCACCCACGGCCCGTATATCTCGCTCAGGGACCGTAATGTACTGCGGTGTTCCCGTCTTTGCATATAAGATAATTTGGGCATCAATCCTTCCCCAGACAGATTTATGTCACTCGGAGGACAGTTTCACTTCTCCTTCTTTATCGCTTCACTGGAGCCTGCTTAATTTCTCCCCGTCAGCCCCTTCCCCTGGAGATGTTATTTTTTCCCTAAATGTCCAACATTTGCATTGGCTGTCCGGGACGGGGAGAGCGATGGTGCTGTTGTGATAAATAAATTTGAGCATGCCATGCCAGGTTGTTTCTTCCCCTCCTTCTTCTGTTGTTGTTCCTGTTGTCTGGCGCCACAAGTCGGGTCCTCTCTGTCCCAGGACAGTTCCCCCCTTTTCCCAAGTCTTCAATTCATTCTTGGCTACTGTGTTCCCTCTACCTCTTAAAGCATGTTGCTGAAACACCCATGCATGAGAGCTCATAGTTGTTGACTCTAGGGGGTAGGGGTCGGAGCTTGCTGCAAACTAATGGCCAGGGTAAGATGGGGTAGTGTTTCGTGAAGTGAAAGGGTGAAAAAAAAAAAAACCACAGCCCCAAATTGTAAAAAGAAAACAAGGAAAAGAGCCCAGTACTTACTTCCCCCTTTTTCTTTGCGTTTTGCTTTACAAGATGGAGGTTACATGTAGTGCCATTGCCCATCCATGCCCATATTCATCCCCATTCCACTCATAGGCCCTAGAAAGAGGAGATAAATGCCAGAAAAGGGTCAGCAGAAGTTTGAATCACAGAGAGGTCAAAGGAGACCGACTGATTGAGAGGATGAGGTTGGTTAGCTTTAGATGGAAAATGATGAGGGAGGGGAAGGATGTAAAGAGGTGGCATAAGTGTTTTTGCATTGCATCCCACAGATCCCTTTGTTATGATAATTTGTGAGGCATTTCCCCAGATGTGTTAGATTAGAGGCAAAAACAAGCAAGACAGGCAACAAACAGTCTGGGGAATGGTGAGGGGACTTTTAAAGAGAAGTGTTATTGTGGTTGTGTAGCACTTGTTAGTATTAGGTTCACATAGCTGACTTGGGGACCTGCTCCGTGCTGAGGTCGCTAAATCTCATGCTACAGACAAGAGGATCAGTAATGATCAGCTCTGCGATAACTGAGGGTGAAACTAGTGTCTGGTAAAGCAAGCATGATGGAGGGAAGAGGGATGAAGAAAAGAGGGGTGGACGGACTTACCAGCTGGTCGGATCCCCATGTGTTGCTGACCGTCCAGCACGAAGCTGCCCATTGGTTGGCCCTCTGGACTGTATGCTGCTCCTTGGCTCACTGAAGGATCAAGAAGAAAACCTGATTGTAGTCAAAACGTGGACATGAAAAAGGGAGGGGGGAAGAAGAAGAGAAAACACACCAGACAATCAGCAATTGTCCCAGCTTCAGCCCAAACATACTGTAAGACATTGTGCTCATGTTTGTGGACCGCATTGACTGACACGTGGCATGCAAACACGCATACAGTAGGTCCCCATGCATGCAAGCACGCACACACACA